ATATCTGATCTCCCCGGACCCTGCATTCACTATATCTGATCTCCCCGGACCCTGCATTCAGTATATCTGGTCTCCCCGGACCCTGCATTCACTATATCCGGTCTCCCCGGACCCTGCATTCAGTATATCTGGTCTCCCCAGACCCTGCATTCACTATACCTGGTCTCCCTGAATCCTGCATTCACTATATCCGCTCTCCCCGGACCCTGCATTCACTATATCCGGTCTTCCCGGACCCTGCATTCACTATATCCGATTTCCCTGGACCCCGCATTCACTATATCTGGTCTCCCCGGACCCTGCATTCACTATATCTGGTCTCCCGGACCCTGCACTCACTATATCTGATCTCCCCAGACCCTGCATTCACTATACCTGGTCTCCCTGAATCCTGCATTCACTATATCTGGTCTCCCCGGACCCTGCATTCACTATATCTGGTCTCCCCGGACCCTGCATTCACTATATCTGGTCTCCCAGGACCCTGCATTCACTATATCCGGTCTCCCCAGACTCTGCATTCACTATATCTGATCTCCCCGGACCCTGCATTCACTATATCTGGTCTTCCCGGACCCTGCATTCACTATATCTGGTCTTCCCGGACCCTGCATTCACTATACCTGGTCTCCCCCCGGACCCTGCATTCACTATACCTGGTCTCCCCGGACCCTGCATTCACTATATCTGGTCTCCCCGGACCCTGCATTCACTATATCTGGTCTCCCAGGACCCTGCATTCACTATATCCGCTCTCCCCAGACCCCGCATTCACTATATCTGGTCTCCCCGGACCCTGCATTCACTATATCTGGTCTCCCCGGACCCCTGCATTCACTATATCTGGTCTTCCCGGACCCAGCATTCACCATATATGGTCTCCCCTGGACCCTGCATTCACTATATCGGATTTCCCCGGACCCTGCATTCACTATATCTGGCCTCTCCCGAACCCCGCATTCACTATATCTGGTCTCCCCGGACCCCGCATTCACTATGTCCGGTCTCCCCCTGGACCCTGCATTCACTATATTTGGTCCCTGACCCTCAGTCTGGACAGCACTGATTGGCCCTGTGCTGATCACATGTACCCTCCCTCCAAAAAAAAACCCTAGCCATACACACTAAACTGAGCATGTGCAGAGTGCCTCCTAGAGCTCTGTACTATCAGCAGATGGATTGGGGACAGTAGAGGAAGGGGGGGATCAGAGAAGACAGGATCAAATGGCCTTTTTACACAATGCAGAGGATTAACCCCTTAGGTTCCACAGTGAGTATAACAAGCATGCTTTACTGCATATACAGACTGATTGTACTGTTGTGGGTTTAGTAACACTTTAACCCTTACACAGTCCATCCAAAGGTAGAAAAAAAAAACTCAAGTTGGGGTTCAGCTTCAGAAACACCCATCTAGGTGAGCCATAGAGATTCCATTTTTTTTGTATTTTTCAGGTAAGGCCGATACACCCCCCTCTGGAGGAGGGAAAAGGGTGAAGAAGAGGGTGCAGGTGACATATGATGACTCAGCGGAGGACATGGAGAAGAAGGTGAAGTGGGAGCCGGCAAACTGGCAGAAACATCTGGAGAACATCCGGCAGATGAGGAGCAGACGGGACGCCCCGGTGGATCAGATGGGGGCTGAGAAATGCTTTGATCAGAACGCTGCACCAGAGGTATGGTCTGTAGAAGAGGGCAACCAACCACAGTCACGTGGGAAAATTAAAAGCTGAAGGTTTAACTGCAACCCGGGCCCCTGCATTCACTATATAAACCCGGGCCCCTGCATTCACTATATAAACCCGGGCCCCTTGCATTCACTATATAAACCCGGGCCCCTGCATTCACTATATAAAACCCGGGCCCCTGCATTCACTATATAAAACCCGGCCCCTGCATTCACTATATAAACCCTGGCCCTGCATTCACTATATAAACCCGGGCCCCTGCATTCACTATATAAACCCGGGCCCTTGCATTCACTATATAAACCCGGGCCCTGCATTCACTATATAAAACCCGGGCCCCTGCATTCACTATATAAACCCGGGCCCCTGCATTCACTATATAAACCCGGGCCCCTGCATTCACTATATAAACCCGGGCCCCTGCATTCACTATATAAACCCGGGCCCCTGCATTCACTATATAAACCCTGGCCCCTGCATTCACTATATAAACCCGGGCCCCTGCATTCACTATATAAACCCGGCCCCCCTGCATTCACTATATAAACCCGGGCCCCTGCATTCACTATAACCCGGCCCCTGCATTCACTATATAAACCCGGGCCCCTGCATTCACTATATAAACCCGGGCCCCTGCATTCACTATATAAACCCGGGCCCCTGCATTCACTATATAAACCCGGGCCCCTGCATTCACTATATAAACCCGGCCCCCTGCATTCACTATATAAACCCGGCCCCCTGCATTCACTATATATAAACCCGGGCCCCTGCATTCACTATATAAACCCCCGGCCCCTGCATTCACTATATAAACCCGGCCCCTGCATTCACTATATAAAACCCGGGCCCCTGCATTCACTATATAAAACCCGGGCCCCTGCATTCACTATATAAACCCGGGCCCCTGCATTCACTATATAAACCGGGCCCCTGCATTCACTATATAAACCCGGCCCCTGCATTCACTATATAAACCCGGTCCCTGCATTCACTATATAAACCCGGGCCCCTGCATTCACTATATAAACCCGGGACCCCTGCATTCACTATATAAACCCGGGCCCCTGCATTCACTATATAAACCTGGGGACCCTGCATTCACTATATAAAACCCGGGACCCCGGGACCCTGCATTCACTATTTAAACTCGGGACCCTGCATTCACTATATCCACTCTCCCCGGACCCTGCATTCACTATATCCACTCTCCCCGGACCCTGCATTCACTATATCTGCTCTCCCCGGACCCTGCATTCACTATATCTGGTCTCTCCGGACCCTGCATTCACTATATCCACTTTCCCCGGACCCTGCATTCACTATATCCGGTCTCCCCGGACCCTGCATTCACTGTATCTGGTCTCCCCGGACCCTGCATTCACTATATCCGTCTCCCCGGACCCTGCATTCACTATATCCGGTCTCCCCGGACCCTGCATTCACTATATCCGCTCTTCCCAGACCCTGCATTCACTATATCTGGTCTCCCAGGACCCCTGCATTCACTATATCTGGTCTCCCCGGACCCTGCATTCACTATATCCGGTCTCCCTGGACCCTGCATTCACTATATCCGCTCTCCCCGGACCCTACATTCACTATATCTGGTCTCCCCGGACCTTGCATTCACTGTATCTGGTCTCCCCGGACCTTGCATTCACTGTATCTGGTCTCCCTGGACCCTGCATTCACTATATCTGGTCTCCCCGGACCCTGCATTCACTATATCTGGTCTCTCCCCAAATTGACCCTGCATTCACTATATCTGGTCTCCCGGACTCTGCATTCACTATATCTGGTCTCCCGGACTCTGCATTCACTATATCTGGTCTCCCACAGTACACACAACATGGAAATGCAATTATTTTAGTAAATATAAACTGCTAAATACCTTTTCTCATCAGCCGTATATAACAGTCTGGAGAAGTGGAGAAGGACCCCAAACAGCAGGATACCATGTCCCTTTAAATGTGCCAGAGTGTGGATGGGACGGTATCCTGCTGTTCGGGGTCCTTCTCCACTCAAACGATAAACTCCCCTTCCACGGTGGTCATATAGAGCAGCGGTTCTCAACCTGGGGGTCGCGACCCCTTTGGGGGTCGAACGACCATTTCCCAGGGGTCGCCTAAGACCATCGGAAAACACATATTTCCGATGGTCTTAGGAAACCGAGACACCGCTGCAGTCTCCGGCGATGTGTGGGCGGGATGATACGCTGCTGTCACCCGGCCACACCTCTGGGATCGCTCAGCAGCTCCGCCTCCTCGCCGCTGATTGGCCACCGGAACTGTAGCTCAGGAGAGGCACACAGGCGGCCAATCACCGCGAGGAGGTGGAGCTTGGAGAGGAGGAGCCAAGCGGCAGCGCGCGTACATCAAAGAAGACCGAGGGAGCGAGTGAAGGAGGAGAGGCCAGAGAAGGGAGAAGACAGCTGACAGGTAAGTGAGAGAGCGAGCCCAGGCTGGAACAGGGGTCAGCAAGGTAAGTATCATTGGTGTCAGTGGGAGGAATAGTGCCCCATCATTTGTGTCACGAATACCAACGATGGGGCACTATTCCTCCCCCCACTGACACCAACGATGGGGTACTATTCCTCCCCCACTGACACCAACGATGGGGCAGTATTCCTCCCCCCACTGACACCAAACGATGGGGCCAGTATTCTATCCCCCACTGACACCAACGATGGGGCAGTATTCCTCCCCCCACTGACACCAACGATTGGGGCAGTATTCCTCCCCCCACTGACACCAACGATGGGGCAGTATTCCTCCCCCACTGACACCAACGATGGGGCAGTATTCCTCCCCCCACTGAAACACCAACGATGGGGCAGTATTCCTCCCCCCACTGACACCAACGATGGGGCAGTATTCCTCCCCCACTGACACCAACGATGGGCAGTATTTCCTCCCCCCACTGACACCAACGATGGGGCAGTATTCCTCCCCCACTGACACCAACGATGGTGGGCAGTATTTCCTCCCCCACTGACACCAACGATGGTGCAGTATTCCTCCCCCCACTGACACCAACGATGGGGCAGTATTCCTCCCCACTGACACCAACGATGGGGCACTATTCCTCCCACTGACACAGTGATGTGGCACTATTCCTCCCACTGACACCAGTGATGGGGCACTACTCCTCCCACTGACACCAGTGATGGGGCACTTACTCCCCCACTGACACCAGTGATGCGGCACTACTTACTCACCCCCCCACTGACACAGTGATGCGGCACTACTCCCCCCCCACTGACACCAATGATGGGGCACTTACTCCCCCCCCACTGACACCAATGATGGGGCACTACTCCCCCCACTGACACCAATGATGGGGCACTAATCCCCCCACTGACACCAATGATGGGGCACTACTCCCCCCACTGACACCAATGATGGGGCACTACTCCCCCCTCCACTGACACCAATGATGGGGCACTACTACTCCCCCACACTGACACCAATGATGGGGCACTACTCCCCCCACTGACACCAATGATGGGGCACTACTCCCCCCTCACTGACACCAATGATGGGGCCTACTTACTCCCCCCACTGACACCAATGATGGGGCACTACTCCCCCCACTGACACCAATGATGGGGCACTACTCCCCCCACTGACACCAATGATGGGGCACTACTCCCCCCTACTGACACCAATGATGGGGCACTACTCCCCCCCACTGGACACCAATGATGGGGCACTACTCCCCCCACTGACACCAATGATGGGGCACTACTCCCCCACTGACACCAATGATGGGGCACTACTCCTCCCACTGACACCAACGATGGGGCACTACTCCTCCCACTGACACCAACGATGGGGCACTACTCCTCCCACTGACACCAACGATGGGGCACTTACTCTCTCCCACTGACACCAACGATGGGGCACTACTCCTCCCACTGACACCAACGATGGGGCACTACTCCTCCCACTGACACCAACGATGGGGCACTACTCCTCCCACTGACACCAACGATGGGGCACTACTCCTCCACTGACACCAACGATGGGGCACTACTCCACGACCACTGACACCAACGATGGGCACTACTCCTCCCACTGACACCAACGATGGGGCACTACTACTCCCACTGACACCCAACGATGGGCACTATTCCTCCCACTGACACCAACGATGGGGGCACTATTCCTCCCACTGACACCAACGATGGGGCAACTATTCCTCCCACTGACACCAACGATGGGGGCACTATTCCTCCCACTGACATCAGTGATGGGGCACTACTCCTCCCACTGCAAAAATTACAGTTATGAAGTAGCAATGAAAATAAACTTTTTATGGTTGGGGGTCACCACAACATGAGGAACTGTATTAAGGGGGTCGCATGGCATTAGAAAGGTTGAGAACCACTGTTATAGAGGAATGGACAAATCATAGTGTATTACCCTTTAAAAACCATTTTTTATTTATAAAAAGTAATACACTCACATGACCTCTATGTTAAAACCGCTTTGTGCACAAAATGTGTCCTCCAGATCTTTTTCCTGAGTGAAAATCCTAAAATTGCCAGCTGGTGTCAGTATGGTACCATCGAGCGTCGTGACGGCAAAGCCCCTCCCCTACGCGTTACGCCACCGGTAATGTGCTTCGTCAGAGGAGAATGATTCTTCCCCCCTGATGAAGCCACGTGACCATGTGGCGCACGTAAGAAGCACGGGATTATTATACGTTATAAAGCAAAGTTTTCACGTTTTGAAGAAACTCCTAGACTCATCATGGATTTTTTTTTTGACTGCTCAACAATCATATGGACACGGTTGTTGAAAGTCATCATTGGTTCATTCACTTTCTCATTTTATTTGATATGTATATATAACTTCTAGTAATTGGATCCACAGTTGTATATATTTTGTATTTTTATTCACTTATATACTTGGATATGCACAATTAGACACATTAGTGATTGGATACACCAGGGGCGGACTGACAACTCATGGGGCCCCCGGGCAATAGGGGATCATGGGGGCCCCTGTGTCCTTGCCCAAACTCCAAAAATGCCTATGAAAAAGGTACCAGGGACAACCTCATGGGGCCCCCTACTGACCCCGGGCCCTCGGGCAGTGCCCGAGTTTCCAAATGGTCAGTCCGCCCCTGGGATACACTGTATTACTTCATTTGAAGTGAAGCGCGGCACATTGTGGTTTTTGGCTAAAGAAATTGTAAACCCCAAATTTTTTTTTTTTTTCTAGGATTGGAAACCACTTCGCTGTCTTTATTCAAACAGGTCAAGACAAGCAGATCTCCCAAATGGGTGGGGAGGGGGGATAAATAGCCAATAGGGTCATGGGTCAAAACACATTTTTAGTAGAGTGGGGAAGAGTTCGAACTTCTCTCACTTTTCTCATTACCATCCATACCTTTCTGACCTGGTAAGGCCCCACGCCATGCCTTGTATGGCGTGTCACAGTGACAGGAAGTGAGGGAAAAATCTTATAACGGGGTCACAGACAGGAATAAAAAGAAATCTGTCAAAAATATAGAAAAGTCAAAAACATGACAAGAGTTGGGCTTGAAGGCGGCCCTCTAGCCTTCCCGTCTGTCATGGACAGTTGTACCTGTGCTCTGATTCAACTGCACACTGTTAGCTCCTGATAGTGTACATTAGAAGCTACAATCCGCCTCATTTTCTGGCTGCAGGATGTTGGACATCATCTAGCACCCCCCCCCCCCCAACCTGGCTGTCCTCATGGAGGTTCAGCATAGCATTACCTAAGGTCGTCAGCATGGAACAGCCCCTGCTTGCATCAGGGTTGAGGGTTTTTGGAGAGGAGTGCTGAAGCGGAGTGCTGTGATGTTTTCAGGAAGCACAGCACCCTGCTGGCCCCTCCCACCAGCCATGATATGCCTGCATTGCATAGAGAGTCATAGAGCTCTAGTGATGACATCACTTGGTCTATAATGGGGTACGTAACGAAAATGGAAAGGTTTTATATAAAACCTTTCCTATGATACTGCATGACCCCTGACCCTCTGTCTGGACAGTGTTGATTGGCCCTGTGCTAATCACATGCATCCTCCCCCCAAAAAAAAAAAACCTCTCTAGGCATACACACCAAACTGAGCATATGCAGAGTGTCTCCTAGAGCTCTGTACTATCAGCAGATGATTTTGGATACTGTGGAAGAAGGAGAGGATCAGAGAATACAGTATCAAGCAGACTTTTTACACTGTTTTAACCCCTTGACGCCAACCACACGCAAATAAGTGGCCTCACAGAACTGGGCTTTTTTCCGTTGGGCCGCTAATTTGCGTACCTGACTTTGTGCTGGAGTGCGCCGCACGGCATGCTCCTAGCACAACGACTGGGGTGTCACTGAGAGCTCTGGGTCCCGTTCTAAAGATCGTGATGCGGAACTCCCATCCCAGGTCACCCGATCGCTGTGATAGCCTCTGATTGGCTATCACAGTCATCAGTCACTGTGAATCCCGCCCCCCTTGTTTTCTCTCCCTGAATGGAGGAGAAAGATACATTGCATCTCTCTCTGTCCTTTCAGAGAAAAAAAAATGTGTGTAATAAATAAATAAAATAATAAAAAAATAAACAAAAATACGTAGATCAAGGTTTGACCTAGGTCTGTGCCAGGGTTAGTGTTTGGGTCAGGGTCTTTTCTTTTTTTCGGGTCAGGGTTTTGCACACTATTGTTTCTGAGCTGTACTACGGGTACAATCAACAAGTATCATACACACACGTGGTATCTCTGTGATCGTCAGGAGCAGGAGAAATTATTTGGGGTTGTTCCTTGGTGGTAGGTTATGGTAGCAGCAAGAAATATACAGCTACATTTAAAAAGAAAATAGTTTTTTTTTTTTACTATTTTGGGCCAGTTTTCCTTTGGTAATAAAAAAAAAAAAAAAAAATCAGGCGATATAAATTACCATTCACCACCAAATGAAAACCCAATTTGTTCTGAAAAAAAAAAACAAATTACAATACACAAAGTAGCTGGGGTGATATGTACGGTTTTGCTAACACATGTCAAAGTTGCAAAATTGTGCTTAGGCGTTAAGATTTGTTTTCCCCTTAGGGACAAAGGGGTTAATTAGTATGTTGATCGGGGGCAAGGGGAGGGGGGACTATGGAACGCAAAATATAACCTGATTAAACTTCACCTTTAATCGGGCAGACTGACCATTTAGAAACTCGGGCACTGCCTGAGGGCCCGGGGTCAGTAGGGGGCCCCATGAGATGCCCCTGGTACCTTTTTCATAGGCTTTTTTGAGTTTGGGCAAGGACACAGGGGCCCCATGATCCCCTATTGCCCGGGGGCCCCATGAGTTGTCAGTCCGCCCCTGCCTTTAATACAGTTGGCTGTATAGCACAGGGCTCACCGTCATATTGTCCACTCCTCTGTAAGGCTCCACGCACACGGGGCGTTTTGATAACGCTGGTAACGTTAGCTGTGTAAAGTTACGTTAACCTCTTGGCGCCGGCCGAGCGCAAATGTGCGGCCTCCCCGGCGTCTAGGCCTAGATGCCAAGCGGCCGCACATTTGCGTTCTATTAAAAAAAAAAAACATTTGTCCTGAGAGCGCGCGCCCTGCTTGCTCCCAGCACACGGTACTCACGGAAAAGGTCCCGATCTCCTCTTTCGATTGGGACCTTTACCGATCATATGACCGCCGTGACAGCGAATCACGGCGGTCACATGACCCTAAAAACTCCTCCCCACCTCCTGGCTTCTGGAACCCTTAAAGGCCTAGGAAGCACTGGTGCCGAGGGATTACAAATGTGAGGTTTTTTATCTTTTTTTTTTTTTTTTTTTTTTTTTAGCATTTTTGCATTAGTGTTTTGCCGCAACTGCATTTTTTAGCATTTTTTTTCCAAAAAAAAGAAAAATTTTTTTTTTTTTTTTTGGTCAAAAAAAGTCAAAAACAGCGGTTTGCAGCGTTTTTACCACATTTTGCCGTGTTTTTCAGCGCTACAGCATTTTTTACATCTGAAAAACTCTAGAAACCTACTAGTTCTGGTTTTTTTTCCAGCCAAGAAACGTTAAGTACAGCCTATCTGTGTATGGACACATAGGATAACATGCTGGGGATGGACACATAGGATAACATGCTGGGGGATGGACACATAGGGGGATAACATGCCGGGGATGGACACATAGGATAACATGCTGGGGATGGACACATAGGATAACATGCCGGGGGGGACACATAGGATAACATGCTGGGGATGGACACATAGGATAACATGCCGGGGATGGACACATATGATAACATGCTGGGGATGGACACATAGGATAACATGCTGGGGATGGACACACAGGATAACATGCTGGGGGATGGACACATAGGATAACATGCTGGGATGGACACATAGGATAACATGCTGGGGATGGACACATAGGATAACACGCTGGAGATGGACACATAGGATAACACGCTGGGGATGGACACATAGGATAACATGCCGGGGATGGACACATACAGTCAGGTCCATAAATATTGGGACATTGACACAATTCTAACATTTTTGGCTCTATACGCCACCACAATGGATTTGAAATGAAGCGAACAAAATGTGCTTTAACTGCAGACTGTCAGCTTTAATTTGAGGGTATTTACATCCAAATCAGGTGAACGGTGTAGGAATTACAACAGTTTGCATATGTGCCTCCCACTTGTTAAGGGACTAAAAGTAATGGGACAGAATAATAATCATAAATCAAACTTTCACTTTTTAACACTTGGTTGCAAATCCTTTGCAGTCAATTACAGCCTGAAGTCTGGAATGCATAGACATCACCAGACGCTGGGTTTCATCCCTGGTGATGCTCTGCCAGGCCTCTACTGCAAC